CAAGAAACATTTCTCTTTAACTCTATTTTTTGGTCAATTTGATATGATGTCAATAACGGAAAATCACAATTCAAAGTTGTACCCAATGTAATGTAATCAAATGTCTCTCTTTGTCCATGAAACAGTCCAAAACCCAACTACAGTATTCAGTATACAGTAAAACATCTATATTTCTGATACTTCATATAAAAGACTAACACTTCATAATGATAGGCATTGTTGTCTTACGGAAAATGACTTTTTTGATTATAAAAATTGTTTCAAATCATTTCTGTCACTAACTTATTGATTAATTGACTATTTATTTTCATTTTTGGGGTACTTAAAGGTGGGGTAGGTAAGTTTGAGAAACCGGCTTGAGATACACTTTTTGTTATATTCCATGGAATGCTCTTAACATCCCGATAGCAATGAATATCTTAAGTGCTTTGACAACAAATCCATAAAAAAATGTCATCTGTGGAAGCCGTAGTACTGTAAAAAGCACGACCAATCATTTTAGCCGGCCCAGCTAAAATAACTGGATGGCCTACCTGCCTGTCAGCCTTCCATCTGTGCACAAACTTATCTCGTGCCCTCATTGGTCATGTGCGCGTTCGTGTGTGTTGGAGGAGGGGCTCTGTAAGGAAGTGGCAGATTTTTTCCGGTTGTGTATTTTCAAATTCTAGTGCACTCGAGCTGGTTTCTCCAAAATTACCTACCCCACCTTTAAAGCAACAAATAAGTATTTAATTATTGGAAAAGAATGAAAAACTCTACTCTAAATGACTCTATGTGTTCATCATTGTCTGTTCATAATTAATTGATCTGTTTTTGGATATGAATTGGGTTTGGCAGGAATTCAAATCTAATGTGAGTTTCCCATTTCACTTCAGTCCACTGACCTGTTGAGCACAGTGAGCCATCAGAACTGTCTTTCCTGTGCACGGGCCTCCTGTCACCACTAGGAGGCGCTGCCGCTCACTCTGCTCCACATAGGCTCTGACCTGCAGCAAATACAAATACTCTCCTGTAATGTATGGCACCTTAAAATGTTGTCTACATCACAATTTCACAGGAAAAATAGACCAAACAATATCCCCAAAATACACGTCATTTACTCATTTGTAAAGTAATTATTTTACTGAGAAGAGATCTCCTCAGCTCTTAATCCTTTACAATGCCAAAGGTAAGATAAAACAGAAGTGTCTATATCTACACAATAAGTATACACAAAGACAATATGTTAATGCTGCTTTTTGTGTTTAGAAAACAGATAAAGACCTCCTCCTGACCTCTTCCTCCTCAGGCCGAATGACATCATATAACCTCGACAGCGAGTCACACAGTTCCTGCTGCTCGGCCTGCTCTCTGGCCAAAGCATCGCTGAGCTGAGAGCCATCGCTGCTGTGTGAGATGTTCCAGCTGTCAATCAATCCCACAAGGTCGCAGTACACCTGTTGGCACAGAGACTCGGCATAGCCCCGCCTCCTGGCTGTCGTGTAACCATGTCGACGGTCACACTCTGTGGCCGTGGTGTAGACCAGAAGCTGGGAGGAACCGATGAGACCAGGCAGGAAGTGGTCACACAGCTCTGAGAACAGTTGTCCATCAGTGGGTGTTGTCCCTAGGTCAAAGGTAGCAGCCTAACAAAAAAGCACAAGGAAAAAGTTATTATTCTTAATTTCTGTATTTATTTTCTAGCTTTAATACAGACTCTAATGTATGTACCTTGATAGACATAGATATTCTAAGCACATCTTGATGCTTTCAATAACACAAGTCATGTTTATCTTTCTCCACTACTTGAAAGAGGCAGAGAGCACTTTTTTTTGCAAGTTCCCCACGTCAACATGGGCATGACTCACATCTCTAACCCTTTTACTTGAATCAAAATGCTTGATGTCTTTGATGTCCATCCATGGTAGTGGGGATCTATAAGCTCAAGTTAACTTTTCCTTTAAACTGTTATTTAGTTCAGCAAGGCTATGAACATCTCTGGGAGGCCCCACCTGCTCCTTCTGGAAAACAATGGTGATAACATTTGGTTTCTGAAAGGCAAATCTGCCACATGATCAGCAGTTAGAGAAGATGTCTCCTTCCAAAACTTGTAAAATAAGGAAAAAATAATATGAAATGTACTTTTGCCCCACAGTATAGCAATGTGTGTGGATGAAAGTGTTGTGTTTCTTGCAGAAATGCAGAGACAATAATGACGCTCACCTCTGACTGCTGCTGAGGAGGTGACTTCATACAGCTCTTCTTTGTCTCTCCTTTTGCATTGATGACCTTGTGGACGTAAACCAGGCAGCGTCTGATGATCTCATTATCAGGACGGGTGTCCAGAGCAAACCTCAGATCTGCATCGAGGGCTGTAGAGAAGCAGCAAATCACATATGAAATGATATCTCAACATCCAGAAAAACTCCTACACTGACGTACATTATATCTCACCTGATCTGCAGTAGCTATTGGCTGTCTTTGGGCTCATAACACCGTTGTGAACACACAGACTGACAATGGTCTGAAACACCTTCCTTAACTCTTCCTCTTTAGGAGTCTCCTCTTCCTCCTTTGCCTCCACCTCCTGAACAACACACAGATAGGAACAGCCCCACAGTCTAACAGTTGTAGTAACAAATGTTTAGAAAATATAGAAATGTTATTAATCAAGGTAAATTATATCTAAAATATGATCACATGCAATACGGTTAGGATGATACTGTGTATAGACTGTGTAATGTGCGCATGTGCTTCAAATGATTGTTCTGTATTCATTGCTCCATTGTAATCCTGCTAGTAATCCCCCCTTTTTTTGAATGAACCAGTAATCTGAATGTAATCCTAATGAAGACACAAAATGAATCATGTATTTCTGAGGTTGAGTGTGACCACCTGGGGGCAGCAGGTGGGTCTGTGTGGAGGTCTCAGGCAGTAGGAGGGGGGGAGGGTGTTCTCGTCCCTCCGGTACGCCTGCTCCAGCTCCTGGGTGCGGACCCCCGCCCGCTGACCCTCCTGCAGCAGCAGCTGGAAGTCTGACACCTCCACCTGGGTAGGCAGACTGGCTGAGCCATACTGATGCCCTACCAGAGCCTGCAGCGCCACCACATGGACACAGAACGAACAGCATTATGGGATTCCTCGTTCAGCACAGATTCATTCACACTCAAATGGGTGTTTATGGATTTATAAAAGCTCAACAGGGACTGATTTAATGACAGTGTATAATAGTGCCTCATGGCTGTGGTAGTACTCAAACTATGATTCAATTATCTCTTATTTTTTAAAACACCAGGATGCTCGAGGGGGACCCAAGATGACTACATTAAATCTGGGGATTTATTTACCAGTAAAAAAGGTCCTGAGGAGCTCTTTCTGCATTCTTCAATCAGCTGCTGTCTGCTGTTTTCCTCTGGCCAACTACTGGAGTCACTGGACTCAAATGGGTCTAACACCTAGTACACACACACACACACACACACACACACACACACACACACACACACACACACACACACACACACACACACACACACACACACACACACACACACACACACACACACACACACACACACACACACACACACACACACACACACACACACACACACACACACACACACACACACACACACACACACACACACACACACGCACACGCACGCACACACACATAATTAAAACACTCAAGAGGAGAGATGACTGATAATCCGTTAGTGAAAAGCACACAGAGAGGAGCACAATCGGACAGGTGGTGGCTCAGAAACACATGATACTCGTCCCTCTCTCTCATTACACATGCTGCTGAAAAGAGACGGCACTATGTGCTGGTTGAAGAGCCTGAGGCGATTTCATCGACACCGACACATTACGCACAGAGTCGCTTTACAGCTGCTCATCTCTTTTCCTTGGAAGCTACCACATAATGTTGCTTTTGTATTCCAATGTTGACATGAAACGATGTCCTTCAGTGTGTCTTATAAGGAGGAGTCTGCAATAGTGCAATAACAATAAGCCAACTGAAAGAAAATATCATTTTGGGTGCACACTTTTAGAAAACTCATATTTCATAGTCTGTATAATGAGTGTTGATCAGACTAAACAAGTTGTACTCAGGACCTTCACCTCTGAATCCATATCAGCTTCATTATGTTCAACATTTTGAGAATAAAACAATTACACAAATGAATGTAAACAATATTCTATGAAGGAATTGTTAATGAAAATTCAAATATCATCAGGTTAGAAAAATCAAACTACCTGGGACACATCACTGAAAACAGTTGATAAATGCAACTTTTCTTTACACATTTAAAAACAAGTTAGTTACATTGTTTCCATTTAGACCACAGAATGTTCCTCCTTCCCTAAAAGCCATTACGACAACACTAATACCGTTGCATCTGAAATACACAACACGCATCACACATTTAGAAAGATAAGTGTGTACTGACCCTGACATCCAGTCCTAGTGTGTGTCTGCAGTGCTCTCTAAGTTTTGGAAACACACTCTCTCTCAGAGCTCTGCGCTCCACCACGCTATCTGTACAGAGCATAAACACAAACAACATCTGATCACAACAACCTTCAGAAACATAACACATTCATGCATTGGTTTCTTTTCATACCTTCAGGGTTGGAGCACAGATAGAGTTTCACACAGGTGGAATTTGAAGGTGACCAGTCCATTTGTTTTCAGAGAAAGAGTTGGGAAGTTGCTAAAATAAAGCAAATAAAGCTAAAACTTCTGGCATGAACGTTTTCAATGGCCCACATAAAAGTGAACAATTGCTGCTTTGCTGCTCTGCGCTGTTGTTTCCCTTCTACTTCCCGCTCCACTCAAGAAACTCTGGCCTCGGGTGTTTATAAAGTGTGTTATCATGATCACACCCACCTCCAGAGACTGAACACACGCACACACACGACAGGTGCATAAACACACACGCTACACATTAGTTACAGGAAGGCAAACCATTACAAACAACCACAACAGAAATAAAAGAAGTGATCACAAAAAACAACTTTCAATATTTTTTTATTAATTAACATTTGTACACAATAAATACAAACTTTATTTTTTTGTACAGCCAATAATAATATGCAGAAAGACTTTTGCACCTGCATATTATTGTCACCATGGCAACAGTCTGAAGAGAGAAGGCCAGTTGCTCCACCACGTCGTTTAAAACAGCAGCTGTGCAGCTGCGCCAAATCGAAGGATGAAACATAAAATAATTATATAATACATAAAAAACAAAAACAGGCTCATAACAAATAACTCAACACTGTAGTGGACCAAAGGGACTGTCAAAAAGGGAACATCATCCTGATCAAAGGGGTAACTGGCAACGGAAGTCATACATTTTGTATTTGATAGAAAGACTGATTGAGCTTTTATTGTGTGAAGTTCTGCCGTAAACCAAACATTTCAAACAAAGTTAGAAAACTATTTTAAATGAGAGCTGAAGGAGAAGCTTGACCACAGTCACGAGTCGAAGCCAGTTCCTACAACATCAGTGGAGCACTAACTTATTCCAGAAAGCTTAACCTTGTGAGGTGTGGATGCTGCAGAAAATGTTGTTTCTAGTTCTGTCTTGATTTCTGGCATCAGCTTTCTCAATCCAACATAATTCCACTTTGCAAATGGGAACCAATCAGATTGAGCACAGATCAGAAAGTACCAGAGATTGAATACTGTCCTTTTTTGTTTTGACATCTTTCTGGAGCTGTACAGGGTACAACTATATCTAATTGTTTCCAGCTGTGAGGAGGTCCCTTTAATAATGTGTTGCAATATGTAGCAATATTGTACATTAACACCACGCTGGAAAAGCAAGCAAACGTAAAGTCCATTCTGTCATTATTAATCTGATGTATTCAATGTGAACGCTCTATCAAACCGCGAGTGTATAATAAATATGGAGGAAGGAACTGGAACACATCTTCAGAGTCAAACACAGATCCGATGCTCTCCTCTTCAACAAGCACACGCAAATGGGTCCTCTTTAAGTCCATAAAACCACATTCTCTCAAAGTATCAAACATCACTTTCTATGATCATGTCGTTTTTTTCTTCTAAGTTTAGAAAAACACCAAATTACATTTTCCACAATATTCTCTCTGTCTCTTTGGAAGAGTGGAGAATATATATATAAAAGAGTCGTCAGTCACACTGAAATAAAAAGGATTCGCCACAGAATCAGAATGAAGAGAAGTACTCTGATTTCTGTATTAAACTGCAGTGATTCATCAGAGTCTTTCCATTCATGCTGATACTGTTTTAAGATACTGCTACTGTCCAGGGAAGGTACAAATAAATAAAAGTGCTACGCTGCCCTTTAGGCAAGGGGTTTTAAAGGCTTGAAGGGTATTTAAGGGGGAAGATTGTTTACTTTAAGTACAAAAAACACAACAGAATTGTACTTGGCTCCATTTGAATGTCGTTTGCTAGTTCTGTCCATTATGGGCAATGTATTTGTATTTTTTCAATTTCTACCACCTTTTATCAAACAAAAATAAAGATGATACCAAGTTGGAAATGTTAAAGGTCCATTTGTTGTTATGGATGTTTTTGCTGCTGCTTTGTAGCACACCAACAGAACAAATAATACCTGTGAATGTATTGCGTGTTATCAAAATCAACATGAGAGGAGGTATGATCTGTAGGGATGAAACCTTTACAGTTCATTCTGTGATTAATAATAACGCCTGACCTAAACGTGATCAGTGTCTATATCATCTCAAAAAATATCTTTGTCACCACACGGAGTGAATGCCAACGTGTCTGTGCTTTCGAACACATCATCAGCCTCCTCCTAAACCAACCAGTGATATAAGCCCACTGATGCTCACAGAATGAAAGATATAGCAATGTGTGCGTAATATAATGTAACTTGATGTGTGTATATGATAGCCATCAATTCACACTGACTGCAAATGGACAAAACTGACATTAGAGGAAAGAGGAAGAGAGGTGGAGCAGAGAGGAGGATCCAGCCTCCCTTTTCTCTCTTGTTCCTTCATCCCCTTAACCCCTCCTACTCTCTTATCTCTCCTTCATACTGTATTTACAATGCCCTTTCGGTATAAAATGAGGATAAAACTTCCACTACATATCAGACATGGTATTCCAGCAGCTCAGTTAGTCTATATGAAACGCTGTGCATAACATTCCTATGACAACAGTAATGTACTGTACTAATACACATTGAATACGTATGATGATAAGGATTATATATGGTGAGGGAAGGGCTGGCGAGGGGGGGACACTGCGTCCACACACCACCCAGTTTCTCTGTCCATTTACTTCAACCCCAACTTCAATCCAAATCATGACACGTTTGGCAAGTTTTATTGGTATTCCCTCTCATCAAGCTTACTCTACATTGAGCACAGTGGAAATAATTGTTATTTTATGCTGTCATCCTCAACATTTTGTAGCTGTCTGTGACTTTACTTCTGATACAATTCCAAATCTTAAAGTTTCATACTTTAGCTAGCTAGCTTTATTGCAACTTCTTTACTAACATGCTTTAGCTACAGTTAGAAGGGTGTGTACACTGTGATGTTACAGACACATGAAGTAAACTATTTGGGTTAATCGCTTCAGCTACAGAAGGTGGTTAGCTTTGCTAACAGTGTTGTCATTTAGGCTAGGTAGCCACACAGTCGATCTCTTTAGCTCCAATATAAGCAATTTTCATGTTTTAAGAGGAACATTTAATAACCTTGTACATTTCTTTAAATAATCTATTTTAACTAACTAAGTAAACCTGGCACTTTGTGTTCAGTTCTAAGTCTGACTAGTTTATAACCCTTTACTACATGTTGTCACTTCAGGGCTCTGTAACTTTTCACAGGTTTGATTATTATTTGTAAGCAGTCAGTGAAAAATGGGAGATTTCTCAAATGTAGCAGAATGATCATCCTGTACAGAGAGATGACCAGTACAATGTCTTGAAGTTAACCTAACAAGATGAAAGAAAAACTTGCCAAACCTATCATTCCTTTTCCCTCCCACCCCCCCGTCTCTAAACATTCGTCCTCCTCTTCAGTGTGCTCTGGTCTGCTGTCCGATGAGGCAAAGTTTTAAGGCAAGAATGAAAGGACAGGGGAGGGTTGAGAGGCGCGTGGGGGCGGCTAGAGCTGCACTTCATTAGGAAGCTAATACGTAGATTATTCAATTGGACCCTCTGCCTCCATCCATCTCTGTGCTCTCCTCCTCAACTTGAGTCTGAGAGATGTGGAAAGTATGGAGGGTGGGCGTCAGATGTGGTTCAGTTCAGTTTACTTCACATTGTGTTGTTTGAGCTGAATTCAGTTCAGAGCAGTTTAGTTCCCCAGCCTCTAGGATGCGTCTGTCTGTCGTCTGTTTTAATTTCTTTCTCCCAGCCATCTTAACTGTCTATCACACCAGCGTGATCTCCACCTCCTCCGTCTTCTCACTCTTCTCTTGCGGTCGGCGGGGGTGCTGTTTGGGTGGAGGAGGAGCAGCACGCACCTGCAGAGGTGAAGGAAAACATAATATATGTAAGATGGCCTACTTTTTGTTTGTATGACAAACAGCTTTATGTTCATGCCTGCTCTGGGACACCGTATCTCTCCCAAAAACTTTTAGGGACTTGAAAAAATAAAACTCAGTAGTCTGACTGGAAATAATAATTGGGATTCAGAGTCAGTTAAATAAACACTTTGACTAATACAGAGCTACTATCCATTACTTTCATTATTGAAAAATTGAAGTAATCTGTAAAATGTAACACAATAGAGGCAAATACTATCAGTATCAAAACCCAAAGATAATTAGTTTACTGTCACACAATATACAAATATTGACAGCAAAGTAAAAAAAAAAGGTACAGAACACTTGAATAAGTTGTATACTAACAGGTCGTAGTTTGCTTGGGCCTCCATCAGGGGTAAATCGCAGTGGCTGAGGAAATCCTGGAGACACTGGACTTTTGCCAGATTTTTGATCTAGAGAGAGAGAGGAGAAATATTTCTTAAACAAAAGATCTCACACTAAAAAGCCACAATGGCCTGTGTGTTTGCGTGTGTGTGTGTGTGTGTGTGTGTGTGTGTTGTGTGTGTGTGTGTGTGTGTGTGTGTGTGTTTGTGTGCGTCTTACTGTTGTTGGGCAGCGGTCCTTTGTGTGACGAGGAGGGCGGAGGAGGCTTGTGCTCCCCGTTAAGTGCGGTGGAAGGTGAGCGTGGGAGAGGCGGCGGGGTGGAGTTTTCTGGACTGGTGAAAGGGCTGATGGGAGGTTGTTCATACAGCGGGAGGGGTGGCAGAGAACATGGCAACTTCTCAGAAGGAGAAATCTGAAGAAAGAGACAGAAATAAAGAAATTCATACATTTGCTGAGAATTGCTGCTTACTTGCGATCCTACTAATATACCCAATGCTCCCTAATCCCTATCACTACATACATCATATCAAACTGAGAGCACAGACTGGTTAAAGTAAAACATTTTGAAACACAGCCAAAATAATCTTTAAAGAAAATGGCAAAGTAACTAGCTGAAACTGAAAAAAAGGACACTGGAAATGGTAATAAGTATTAGGAGAATTATCTTTTTCCCAAAATGTCAGTTGAGCCTTAGCCTGATGGTAGTGGTAAAAACACAATTTGTTCATGTAATAAATAAATAGGGCTAATGTGTTTTATTTGTTTAATTATATATCAAGCAGAAAGGTGTTTATGGCAACCTGATAAAAGCTTTAATACTCACTTTATGTTTTACTCTATTGTTGGCCTCTATCAACTCCTGAGGGAAATAAGTTCAGTTAAGTAGTTGTTTTAAAGCCTTTTCATTGAAAAAACAGCACCTAAAGATAATGGCAAGCAAGAAGTGAGAGTTGCAGGGTGTTAAACCATAGCTATATATATATATATATATATATATATATATATATATATAATATAGATCAGGGAAACTGCAGAGCCAGGTACTAAACCCTTATTGGTTTTGTCACTAGAAGCAAAGCCTTTCACAACAGTGGTTTAACTTAATACAACAGTATTGATTAAAACAAATGGCGGTTAACTATATTGAAGTATGAGCTTCCACTTATTACAACAAATCTGCTTCCGCGGAAGTATTATTCAGTAACTTTTAGATTGTTTTACTTATCTTCCCCACACACCACTTAAATCATGTTTAGAGTTGCTGCGGAGTGTGTTATGTCTACAGTATTTTCGGAAAGGGAGAGGCTGTATGCTTCCTGTAGCTGAACCTCTAATAGGGCTCTGCCACAGATAAGACATCTTCCTGTGATTGCAGTGCAGGATTTTCTCAGAGCGCTCCAGCAACACCGCAGTTCTGATCCACTGTTTGTGAACTCTGCCCTGCTGATAAATCTACTGGACAAAAGCCAGGAAGGGAGGGGAGCGGGGGGAAGTGGCCCAGTCGACTCCACTATATGCTTGGCATTTGTGCCCTGAGGAAAGACTGATAAGACCACGTTTTCAGCTCCTGCAGAGTGATGGATGAATCTAGAGCTGAGTGTTACTTAAGGGGGAGTATGTCCCTGACTAATTGTTTTACATACCTGTATGTCACCAGGCCCTCCTCCACTGGTCTCCCCATTCTCAGTGAGATCTTCTACCAGCACGGAGGGGAAGACGCCCACCCGTCCGTTGATCTCCCCCTCCCAGAAGCCATCGTCCGTCTGAGTGTCGCGGTTCAACAGACGAATCACAGCTCCCTCCGAAAAGGAGAGTTCCTCGTCTGCCTGGCCATCATAATCATAAAGTGCGCGGACAAAAATGACTGTGGAGAGAAAGGGAGACAGAGAGAAAAAGTTATAAGATATACAGAAGGAATAATTATTCTTGGGGAAATGTTGTTCCTTGCTTGCCTGCCACTCATTTTCATAAAGAGAATGGTACACACTGCTGGAGAGAGGGAGATACAGAGAAGACAGAAAGAAATAATCATTTGGTGTCAGTTTCCCAATGTATTCAGGTAGAGCAGACACATGGCATTAGATTGGCAGAGTAGAAGAAAGAATGTTTGCATAGAAAGCAGGTGAGAAAGGAAGAATACATTATAAATACAATCTTTATCAAATGTTATGGAGTTTTGCAAAAGATGGTGTTGTCGAAAGGAGAAAAACATTTCCCCTTGTTTTGTTGTCTTTTCGACCAATTTGAATGAACTTCCTTACTCTTGTCTCTGTTCCAGTGAGTCGTGAAATGGAAGCAACCAAAAACAATGATCAAAATAGAAATGGTTGAAGAAAAAATCAGGAGGGACAAAGCTTGTGACATAGGTTAGTACTGTTTTATGGAAAGTGTTTACTTAACTGTGGCTTATGTAGCCTTCAGGGTTTGAATTTACACTTCTACTTCACTTCTTCTTTTACACAACCAACACTTGCCTATTCTAATAACGCTCTGCTTCACAAAAGGACTGTTTTTTTATTATTCCAAGCAACTCCAGTGGAGCAGAACACAGAAAAATGTTTTAATTAGTGGTGCATAATAACCTAATTATAAGAACAAAAAATCAAATGAACACTGGTACAACCGGAATTACCTTGTATACTGAAATTCCTGGTATGCGGTTTAATTATGTCAACTGATAAAGTACCATCACTCGGTTTACAGCGGACTTACTGTTAGTGTCTCCATTGATGCAGCCCGAGTGCAGCTCTGGCTCGGTGGAATTGGACGAGGTGTGGGATCGAGCATCGAGAGTCGCCAGAGACTGGAGCATGCTGAGCAAACTGTTGGAGGTCGGGAACTGCAGGTATTTCTCCGGGACATAGCCAATGAGACCGGTCTTATTGCGAGCCTGGAAACAAACAAGGAACAAGGAACAAAGTCAACATTAAAACATGCATGGTAGGAGAAATATGAGCACCAAGAAACCATGCTAGGTGGTGAAACCAAACAGGACAACACAGAGCTTATAATGAATGCTTAGGTTGTTGTAGCTGGTTACATAATGCACATCTGTGTGATTGCATCATTTGTGTCAGTGTGTGCATTTGTGTACCTTGACCCAGTCCTCCATGTCGCCATCCTCTATGACCTCCAACATCTCCTGCTCATCAATAGTTAACTCATCCGGCTGAGAGGCCTGTGGGAGAGACACAACGACAGGGTTAAAGACAGAAAGAACAGACATGTATACAGTACAGTTAAAACATGCTACAATAAACCCGTGGTTAATAGTTATTTGTACTTGTCTGCATCTTACATGCATATACTGTATAGATGCACGTGATTGTGTATGATTCTGTGTGTAGTGGTTGAACAGGTAGCTGCAGACATTTGATACGTGTAGCTGTGTGACCATGTACCTGCAGAGGGTAACTGTGTGTGTGTGTGTGTGTGTGTGTGTGTGTGTGTGTGTGTTGGTGTTTACCTTGTATGAGTACAGGACTTTGCAGGTTAGCGGGTAGTTTCGTAGAGTCCCTGAAGGACTGGAGCTGCTGTCGTCAAAAACCTCCATGTTCTCTTCACACTCCTCTCCCTCCTCACGCTCCAAATCTACTGTGCCCTTTAAAACACAAACACAGCCAGATAAAGTCAAACACCTCTGATAACTACAAGGACAAATAAGGAAAGCACAGCTCACTTTTTAAGCTCCAGAGTCAAAAAAGACTACACATAAAGTTGTCTAATATTAACAATAATACCTTTTTCAAACATTTAAAGTTTGGCTAGATAGACGCAGTTCTACAAATATAAAGAACATTTTGTCCAGCCTTCATGCTCCTGCTTTATGTCCTGGGCTGACGCTCAGCAAGGTGTTTTGTTTGTCTATCTTTGCACGTGCTCAGTTCACCAGTTGCAAAGTCTGTCCATCTAACAACGACTTTCACCTTTTCCCAGGCTAGTGTCACAACTTCATCTTTACAAAGCTTACCTTTTTTCTTCCTGCCTGGGTTTCTCTGTCCCGCTCAGTGTGGATGCTACAGCTTTTAGACTCAGGTGTAGAGGGACTAACGCTTCATATGATACAGCACCTCCCTCTTTTGTTCCATGACAATTTCACTGGCTCATATGAAGGTCATGTGATCTAGCTAGTGGAAAGATCCATCACACACAGCCAGCTGGTCATAACAATAGTGTGTGTGTGTGTGTGTGTGTGTGTGTGTGTGTGTGTGTGTGTGTGTGCTTATCCATTCCCAAGTCATTCTGTTTAGTCATCACATTTCTGTTGACACAATAAACAGAACCAAACAGATGTGTGTTTTGTATATGAGTTAGTCTCCATAATAATCTATTCCCTTCCTGAATTTTAATACACACTTTTCCTAAGCTTGTCCTTAAGTTTGTTGTTTTACGTCAATCTTATAAACTTTACTGCATTTATTTAAAAGTCCGCTGTGCAGCTTTAGGGCCATTCCATTTAATCCCTGAGGTAAAATGACATGTATTTCCGTAGTAACCCAATAAAGTGTCCCCTTAAGTATATCCCAGTGTGCATAGCAATACAGCTGAGACGAAGACGAATGGATGATTTCATGGTTCCTGGAGCGCATGACTGAGAAAGGGATATTGAAATGAAAGCAGAGTCTGCTTGAGGGAATTGAGAGTTCATGGCTTACAGTATATCAGAGTGGTATTAATAAAGTTGAGTGGAATGAAGAGAGGGAGGAGGGGAAGTGCCTGCTCCCCACTGTCATTGTTTTTCTTTGCTTTCCTCTGCAGATTGTTATTCACAAGCCATCCTCCCTTCTCTCTCTGACCAACAGTCATTTCTTGACCTCTCCTTATTGAGCAAACTATTGTTAACAATCCCTCCTACTGTTGTCTATTGCCTTTGTTGAGCCTTATTATTGTAAAACCTCGTTCTCTGACGCTGTCGGGCTCTTGAGGCTCCATACGCTCCAAATAAAATCAAAGGCTGTTGAACTGCTGACCCATGCCTGAATACTCAATATGCCGCCTGGTCTGCTTTTTTAATGACGCCCAGGCAAAATGTTTTCAGCAAGTCTAGCTTCCAACTGATTCATCGTATAAATAGCGTGGTTTAAAGGATACCTTTAGCATGAACCTCTGCCAAGTAATTGAAAAATAATGTTTGTATCCGCCCAGCGATTTGGATATTCTCCAAAATAAATTGGATGGATTCTTCTCTGGCCCATGCTTCATCATTTAACCCAGATTCATGAAAATGCCAGTAGTTTTCCACAATCCTGCTGACAAACAAACCAACAAACTTAAAACATAACCTCCAGGGTGAAGGGAACTAGAACACAGAAATAATATCCAAAATGTACAAAACCTAACTTCTTGCAGGGAATATTGAAGTGACCTTTGTTTTGGTCACCAGTTTGTTTGTGAACATTTAAAAGTGTACTGTGACCTTAAAGCTCATCTATTTTCATTACTGTTTTTCACATTTCCTCGTCTCTCTCACTTTGCATCCAATTTTACTTCAACATTATCACTCTGATGCTATCCCCGTCCTCACCTCTTCATCACACCTTTTTCTCGCAGCTGACTCCCCCACATTCTCTCTCCTCCCTCACTCATTTTCTCTCCAACACTCCCTCCCTTACTGCACAGCTCCTTCGATCCTCCCTTCTTTCTTTTTATCTCTTCCTAGATATCCTTCACCTCAGAATTCCTCTCACTTTCTCACACTCTATATTTTCTTTCTCTCTCTCTCCCTCTGGTGTTAGCTGCAAGCTGCAATATCATGTGAGCAGAATGTCAAGTGCTTCCAATGGAGCAGACTCATTATGTTCAATTCTCTTGACACACACACACACACACACACACACACACACACACACACACACACACACACACACACACACACACACACACACACACACACACACACACACACACACACACACGTTGTTGAAATACACCAGTGGAGAGACAGAAGCACAAATGCAAAAACCTACTTTTAAATAAATATCCATAACTCAAGTATATATCCAGTCAACCACACACAGGGACATGCTATATATGGCCAGTCACATCCCGTTTGGCACTTTGAGACGTTCACAACAGATATATACACACACATCCCCCCTTTCCCTCTTGGAAAAGCAGTCACTTTTACTGTAAAGGATTTTAAAAAACATTTAGTAAAAGGTGCTTATTCAGCTATATGAAAGATCAACACCGTCTTATGTCTGTGCAGTTTATATATAAACATATAAAGCTGTCACCAGCACCCGGTTAGCTTAGCAGCTAGCCTAGCTCTCTGTAATGCTAATAAACTCTACATACCAGATCATCTAAATTCTTCTAAATAAAGCATTAGATCTTGTTTGATAATGCATACCAAAAAAAAAGTGTTTCCAGTCTTTGTGCTAAGCTAAGCTAGCCAGCTCCCAGCTCTAGCAACAGACTGAAGATCCTTTCACAGAGAAAGCCAATACAGTACGTATATTTCTTAAAATGGCAAACTATTTGTTCATGGTTAAAGCAGTCCATCCCCATTACATGCAAAACATACCAACACATGTTCATAATGTGGTGATCCTCAGGCTTCAGATCTGTACACAGTATATCTGGCCATTTAAGCTAGGGGTCATGAAATAAAAAGTACCTGTCGTGAGAGGGTTACATCAGTATTCCAATGGGGGAAGTGGGGCGTTTTAAGAGGCTGTAATGGTGTGACAGATGATTAGGCAGCGGTGCTGAGGTCAATTATTTTACAATTTACAAGATTCAGGAAGTGATTTGTCAGGAGAAGTCTTATAGCTGGGTGGGTTTCACTTATAATGAAACCATAAAGAATGGAAAGTCTGGGATTATTAGGTACTGCCTTAGGGTTTAAAATTAATTTTCTGAAAGTGCTGAATTGAAAAAGTAGAGATATAACTACAGGTACACTATACAGTCATCGTGTTGTTAATTTGGAAGGTGATGAAGAAGCCACCATGCATGCAACACAAATCACTCACAGATGATATTATGTGGTGAACTTGTGCTATTCTACTTCTGATTTAGTGTCAGATGTGCACTTTACAGCCAAGTCAAAAAGTGCAGCACCCTTTTAAATGCTGATTTAAATAATGTATTAATATGCATTTTTGAACCTGTAGACTTTATAATAATAATACTAAATAAATCATAATGTTTCCTCCAATGTTTTCAAATTTCATTAAAGTTATTTTGTCTTGGCTGGAAAGCTGCAACGTACGCAGAGTGAGGGGAGGCGTCTCACCGAAAGTGAGGGATCGTGGGAAGTGTAGGTGGCCCAACGTTCATTCTCCAGCTCCTCCATCACCTACAGCATGCACAGAGAGAGTGGAGGGGGGGGGTTTACTGTATATACGCTCTGCAAGCAGGCAACACACATACTCTACTACACAAAATTAGATGTATGTGTGAAAGGATTTAAATGCACACTCACTCCAGTGGTCGTATGTTTGAACGCACTCACAAACATGTATCAAACAATGTTTTACACTTTCCTGCAGAAACTCTAATCAGGTAACTGGATTACTAAAAATCATCAATGCAAATTCTTTGCATTTTGCACAGTCAGAAATATGCCTGAAAATGATTAATGATTCTTATTTTCCCTGTATATTTAGTATTGTTCCTAAATAAAGCCAAATCATTTATCAACCGATCACTCACTTAATTGATAACATAATTTAAAGAATACTCCGTTTTTGTTTTAATCGATAGCTGCATCCCTTAAGAAAAGCCACACACACACACACACACACACACACACACACACACACACACACACACACACACACACACACACACACACACACACACACACACACACAAACACACACACACACACACACACACACACACAAACACACACACACACACACACACACATACACACACACACACACACACAGACACAGAGACACAGACATCGTACCTGGTTCATGGCGCTCTTCAGCCAGGTATCCACGGCGACCCCCACTTGCCGCAGAAGGTCCAACCGAGCCTCAGCTTTTAACTTTATTGTCTTTGGAGAGAAAAAGATTTAGGTAAGTTAAGAGCATTCGATATATTACTGCCCTCCACCGTTTTTCTTGCATCAGTCTGAAAATAAAATGTGTCCCATTTTATTTCAAACAGGAACCTGATTTCTCTAATTATGGAGTAAACCTAACCCACCACTTGATGATCGAGAACCACGTCAAAAATCTTAAATCAAATGTTCACTGAAAACACATTTTTTATTTTTCTTTCTGCTTCATTACATCAAATGCCACGCAGTTCAGTGACAAGAGTCGGGATTTGAACTGGATTTGAACTCCAAAATTAGCTTAAATGGCAAATCATCAAAACTCACTGAACTTTCTTTTAATGAGCTGCCAACGCTGGACATGTGCTTTGTTCTTTCCTAATGATACGATATGATAAGGCTATAACCACCAGCAGTGAAACCCCTGAGATTTACATTCACTTTGTCTCGCCTCCTCAACCCTCTTTCATCTCTGATCCGTTCTCTTTTTTCTGATGTCTCTCACCAATTTCCCCTTTCATTACACTCGTCTTTCCTTCCTCACAAATGCTGACGAGAAAACTGATAGCCGATAGTTCCCTTCTTCAGAGAGGTGCAGTCAATCAGACAGACACACACACACACACACACACACACACACACACACACACACACACACACACACACACACACACACACACACACACCACACACACACACACACACACACACACACACACACACACACACACCACACACCACACACACACACACACACACACACACCACACACACACACACACACACACCACACACACACCGCCAAGACAGACTTCCTGGCTTTGATCAATAAAAACCTGAGCTCCTTAAGTGCCTCCTTATTATCCGATCCATTAGTAAAGCCCAGCAAATGCTAAAGGTTGCTGTTGGACCTTAGACATAAAGGGCTGAAGAGGATACAAGTTGAAATGATGGACGATGTATGTTCAGCCATCTTTGCAGCAGCAGAATAAGAATAAGTAGCCAGTGTTGGGAGTACAGATAACTAGTGGAGGACTGCAGGACCTCCCAGAATATAGAATATGGAGCATACAGAAATATAGAAGGAGAGTTGACAGGTGGAGAAATAGTGCAGTGAAAAACATAGCTGTCTAACTTTAATTATTCTAAATCCTAGTGAGTCCTGGTGCTGCAGAGCTCAAAAGATGACAACTGAACTTGTTGAGAAAAGCAATGAAACATGTCTTAATGTTGAGATCAGGAGAAACTTAAGGAATACTAGAAGCTCCATACCAATTGGTCTTCAGTTTTTATAGTGTACTGTGTCTTATGATTTGCTACACGCCATATGCAGATGAAATTGTGCCTCGATTTTGAGTCAATACTTCAAATCATTTTACCAATCCTTATTCGTTTTGTTTGCTCGTGCTGGAAAGTGTCTGAGAGCACAAGCTTGTCTCTCTCTTGATGCATCTTGTGTCTGAAGCATGTTGACGCCTCGTTAATGAGGCCAGATTGTCTGGTGGAGCAGCTCATTAATGTAGAGACAGCCTCCTGCTTTAATTGCTCTCACTCTTTCTCTAAAAACTCCTTATAAAGAGAAAAACATAGACTTAACTTATGCATGAACAAATTGCTTTACATTGACTTTTGGTTTCATAAGGGACATGAAGATTGGTCCCTTGGGTAAAAGTGCCTCCTCCCTATGCAGAGTGAGTAGAAATATATTTGTAATACATAAAAACTTAATTGTGTTCCCTCAAAACGTAATTGACAATGTTGTTTTGCTGTATGTGTAACCTTTTATTAGAATATCACAAGCTTGTAGTAACAACTAAAATCCCCTTTCACATAAGACTGGATATAAATGTAAGACTTTTGATATTGTTGAACATGTCTTTTACCTTTTTTAGTCATATCCACATAACTGATGATTATTTAACCAACATATCATAGTGTAAATGTTTTATGAAAACACCAATAGTGTGCTGTAAAATATCTTTGCAATATCGATATGAAGTTATTATTGACTTTTGTCATATCGCCCAGCCCTCGTTAAATAACTTCATAAATGCCTTTTTCTCTCCTCTTGATTGAAACCAAACTAAACTCCACACAGCTGGCCAGGGGCCAAGTCATTACACATGATTTACACTAGAATATAAAATACATTTCATTTTACGTTCTAAATTTCACTTGACTTTTATCACAGCACATATCACTTAATCTCGCTGATAAATTGTGTTGCGGTATTAACTATTTAAGTCACTTCAAGAAAAAACCTCCAGAGCCTTTCAGTTCCCAGAGCCTTTTATCAAGTTCCCAGCAAGAGGCAATCACATCAGAGGTTTGTAGAGCGCCCAGAATACATAACTCTGCTCGTTCTTTAAATGTTTAGTGATTTCTTTCAAACAGAGGCGAGACAAAGAGGATCAGTCTAGAGATTGAGGTGAGTGCGGTTGAAAACTACAAAATAGATAGCTACTTAGCTACCTCATCTACTCTTTTGTGTAGATATGTCTGTGAAGGCAACAGTCTCTTTTAATATATTCTTATAATAACTACAAAATTGGTCTGCAAGCTCTTAAAAGTTCTACATTATTCAAGGCATTGATATTTATGTTTCTTGCATCGTGTTTAAATAAAGTTTTGTTGTAAAATAATTCAAGGCAATAAATCAAAAATAAAACAAAAAGCTATCTATCAATAAATATCAACAGTGCATCCTTCTTACAGATTTGCCCGCAGTTTGACGTGCAGTAAATGGTCACATATTGGCACAGTCAGTGCGTCATTATACACATTGATTTTGAAAGTCAATTCGCTGTCGAAGTGCTTAAGATGTCGTCACAAGCAAATTAGGCAATTAATACAAAATCAGTAAATGAGGACAGGAGGCGAGGCCAACTATGATTACAGCAATGATTTACTGACAGTTTACATGATGCTTGTGAAACACCGACGTGCATTTGTGAGTACAGATGCCTCACAAATATATTATAATTCATAGATTTGCTGTATAATTACACCTCATTCTAAATCTTCATGTTCTTGCTAATAAAGTGTTTAAATGGCCACTGCATCATGTTTAATGGGATGAAAGTGAGACTTTGTGTAATTGGAAATAATGACGCCATCACTGCACAGATAATGCTGTAATCATCCTGGATGTCTTTTGTTCTGCGTTCACTCCCTTTATAATTCTGTGTTAAGAGCTCTGTGATGAAGCCATTTATACCAAATGAGCTCATTAAATATTAATCATCTGACTTAAAGTAATGCTGGCCTAGAAGAGCAACGAATCGCAGGCACACAGTGGGAAGGAAAGGCAGAAACAGAGGGTGGAAAAAGGACTTTGCTCTTCGTGATAAACAAGACTCAAGATTATTTAGTAGACAGTGAGATCACATGCTAGTATCTACTGATGGTGTTGCTTAATATTAGCAATGTTGGTTGACTAAAATAGATACACTGGCTTGTATATCTTTTTAAAAGAGCAACATTACCTCAGGGGATGAAAATATAAAACTATAGTGAAATAGTGATCACACAGAGAGGTAACATCAGAAGTGAAAGGTTTTTTGGGCGTGACAGTAGAGGGTGCTAGATATTTGAAAACCTGAAGCAGTATGAAGGAAGAAAGACTTTGGGGAGAGAATGAACACAAAAAGAAAACAGCAACCAAAAGCCATAACATTAGAGACTTTGAAAGACAGAGAGACAGAGTGGAGTGGAGAGAGATGACAGATGATGCAGCGATCTCATTCATACTTTGACAGGTTGAATCTGTGGGAATCAATACATACATGATAGACATCTCTACAGGTGGAAAGGCTGACGCTAAAAATGTCTATGGGTGCAGGAAATAGTGGGCTTTGTGGATAGCAATGGTCAAACAACATGAATGATCGGACATCTTCTGCAATGTGAAAGGTGTATTGATCGATCCTGGGCCATGTTTGTTACTTTAATTGCCTCCTGCTCCGTTAGCTGAGCAGAGTCAGACTGGAGGCCAACAGCAACTATTCACATTTAAAATATTTACCAAATAATTAGTCATGCAGCCCAGACAATGGGTAGAGGAAATATAAGACAGGGCTAAGTTTTATGTTATCAAAGAAACAGAGGAAAGAGGCAGGAAGTGAGTCTACAATGATATGCAACTTTTTTGTATCACAGATTTAATAGCATATATTTTAGGGGAAAAACATTTTCCATTCACTATAAAGACAACCTCTGTTCCCTTTTGTGCACCAGCAATCTCAGCAGACAAACATATCCCAATATGTATCTGTTAGGGAAATAATTGTCCTAGAATCCTAGATATGACGTACAGGACCAACCCTGACGTCTGTTTATCTCCTTTAAGGACATAGGCTGCTTGAGCCATAATGTTATGGCGCGTTTCCACTGTAGCGGGTAGCCCCGTTTAAGCGTCCTTAACCGTCCTCAAGCGGCCAGGCCGGTTTTTGGTGGCGTTTCCATATAGCCTAGTACCGGCCAGCGGGTACTTTTTCCCTCTTTTTCCGGCCTCATAAAATCGTGGTTCCCTCAGACCAGGGCCAGGGCTGAACTAGTGACGTCAACACTCTCGACTGCTGATTGGTCAGAGAGAATCGTCACAAGATTGCGCGCGAGTTCATCCCTAGCATCGCATATATATCTAGAAGCAAGCTTGCAGCATTTTTATACACAGCATTTTGTAAACGGAGGAGCTACAAAAATGGCTACTTCTAAGAAAAGCACACCGTGGTCGACCAAGGAGGTGACGACGTTCCTTCATCTCATTGGGGATGATCAAATCCAGCGGGAGCTCGACGGAACAACGAGAAATGTGAACAAAAATAAAGCTGATCGCCCCGCCTACACTGCGTTGCTAGCCCAGGTCCTAAACTGTAATGGAAATGCGCCACGGCCTGGGCCGGCCAGCGAGGCAGCCCGAGGCCAGAGCGAGGACGCTTAGGGACGCTTAAACGGGGCTACCCCGCTGCAGTGGAAACGCGCCATTATTGTTCCCATTCTGTGACCGGTCAACACTAGGTCACAGATGGTCTGTTGTTGTGGGTGTACTGGGACATTTCCTTCTTTGTTGTTTGTGGACTCCAAGGTATGACATCTTCGAGGCCATAAATGACAGACACAAGTAACTCAGTGTGCCCAAACTGTCTAAAGCTATCTTATCAAAATATGTTGATTACTCTCTGTGAAACCAGTTAAATGGGCTAACAAGAGAGAGGCGCGCTAGAATTGACGTGGCAACTCTACCGTGAAGTCAGAACCTCTGGCTCTTGGACTTGTGATGTGAATCTCTCCGGCCGAAACTCCAAATAAACCATCAGTGTTTGACATCAAAGCTCCTGCTCCACCGTGTCTCCTTCCTGAGTCGGTGACTCCCACTGCATTGCTACACAGAAGTTTCCCTTACAGTATCCACTGTGTGAACAAATATAAATGTTGACAATGTGAGTCACGTACCTCAGCTTTGCGTATGTTTTCTTTGGTGTCGTCTATCTTCAACTCCAGATCTAGTCTCCCCTGCTCTGTGGGGGGCAAGCCATGGTTCTCACACTCCTCCAGACACTGAAAACAACACACACACCCATCCGGGGTTAGAAATAGCACATGTGTGTCTCTCTTCGAAAAACACATTTTATTTCTGAAACGGGTATGTGACGAACATTCGTCTCTGTCTTACTCTCTTGTAATGTATGATGTTCTTGTGTTCTCTGGCGATTCTGGTTGCCCATCTCCTGGCCTCTTTGTTCAGACTGTGCTCCTCCGTCGTCCCCGTCTCCGACTCCAGCTGTCGACTCTAATAAAGACAAACACACACATACACACATACCAGACAGGCATAGGTAAACACACAAATGTACCCAGCCCAATAAACACACACATACACACACACACACACACACACACACACACACACACACACACACACACACACACACACACACACACACACACACACACACACACACACACACACACACACACACACACACACACACACACACACACCACACACACACACACACACACACACACACACACACACACACACACACACACAATGCTCTCATAAGTACACTGTCGGTGGTGACAGCACAAGGTGTGTGATGTGCAGAAGCTGTTAATTGAGCTAAAGAAAGTGTGAGAGAAAAAGGTTGTTTCCCTCTCACATCATTAATACCACGTGTGTTGCAAAGCTCTATTGTTATCCTCTTGGAAAGAAATAGCTGCTATTAAAACCACATGTAGAAGAGCACGGCTGTGTGAGTGTGTGCATGGCAACAGGAATATTGAAATGGAATTTATTTTGCAAATAACAATTAAAGCAGCGATGTGGGCTATGTCTTCAAGTTCATAGTTTAAACACCTTGTCATTAATCCATCACATACCAACAACTGAACCATAATACATTATATCTTGTACATTTGACTTACTATGTGTAATGCAATAAATCATGATCGCCCTTTTTTTCTGCTAAAGTAATGACCCTTTTTGTGTGCTTATTTCACATGGAAGATGTCTGTATTTCTTTCTTCCTCTGTGCTCTCCTTACCGGTTAAAAGAGGGCAGGGCAAGGTTGGAAAAGGTGATGTCAGTAACTAATGTGAATTTTTAGCTTCCTTTGAATGACAATCAGATGACAGTTGGTGGGTTGTTTGGTCACTGCAAGTCCAATTATCATCAAACTCAGCCCTGACAGTCCTGATGAGTTCTGATGTCAATCGCATGCTGTCACGTCGGTCATGCAGATGGGCAGACTGAATGATAATTGCTATTTAGCAACTAAGTAGTCACTCAACCAAAAAACATTGTAAGAAAATATAAGTATGACTCAGCGGATGGAGAATGTAGGTATAAGCCTTCAATTTGCCACATATCCTCTTCTACTTATGCTATCTTTGAATAAGTGTTTCTAGAGCACCGTCCCTGCATCCTGTGCTGAGAGCGGTTCAAGACTATTGTGATTGGTTTAAATAAATGCAAATATGCCAGAGCGTTGTTCCCCCCTATCACAAATAATGGTGCTACAAAATATTAAGAAACTATAGTATATGCCCTAGCCACATTTTTATGTTGTTATTGATAAAAAGGGCTTGTTTGCTAAACTAACGCTGCATCTATGTTACTGCAGGGAATGAGTCAACAACTACAGCACATACATTTCTAGTGATGATTCTTAATAAATAATAATTTTCTTTACTGTTGATTTTTTTGTCATTCATATGGGACAAGGGACGGATGGCGCAGTGGTCTGTGCATCTGATCATCAGATCAAGTGCTGGGGAACTCCAGTTCGAAACCCGCTCCTGCCGCCAGTGCGTCAGGCCGTTGTGTCCTTGGGCAAGACACTTCACCCAGATTTGCTCCTGTGGGTATTGTCCACAGTACATGTATGATACTAATGTGTACTTGTAAAAGCGCCTCGATGACTTTGAGGCGTGAAGATGGACGGTGTGGCGCTGTGCAATGATCATCAGATCAAGGGGTGAAAACCCGCCGCTGCTGCGTCTGTAAAGCCGTTGTGTCCTTGGGCAAGACACTTCACCTGAACTTGCTCCTGTGGGTATTGTCCACAGTACATGACCATTGCATGTATGATATGTGTAATGTGTATTTGTAAAGCGCTTTGAGCATCTGGAAAAGCGCTATAATAAATGTAAGGAATTATTATTATTTGATGCTATAGAAAAATATGATAGATTTTAAGAAAATAGCATTATTATTATTGTCTAAAAAGGGGCACTTTAGCGCTGTCTTTTAATTGTAGACTGTCGGAATAGGCACACAACCCAAAGAGATCATTTTCATGACGATATCTAAAATGGTGTGGCTATATGTCTTACGAGTTGTGAAAAAACTGCTCGATTAAAGTGGAAAGACGTCCTTTCTGTTATAAGTTATAATATAGCTATATACTTTATTTAAAAAAACAAATCCACATTTTGTCAGATAAAAAAATCATGCTGGAGCTAAACTTCTATCTCTACTTTGTGAAAATCACATGTGTTCCTGTCATTTATATATTATTGACCAATTCTGTGACATATTTCTGTAGCCTATAACGTTTGAAAAAATAGCATCAGTCACTTCCAACAAAAACAAACTAAGCCTCAGGATGGACATTCACTGTCACTGATGTCTGCTCCTAGACCTCAGAGGCTGGGGTTCCCATAATCTGATAATACAAGTGTGCTAGCTAGACTATGGAGCAGGATATTTTAATTGCACGTTTCCATGCACATCATATCTATTAATTATGTGCCGCTTCAGTAACAAGAAGGCATAAATCTGGCTAAGTATAGGTGTGAAACGAAGAGTATTACACGGGAGATTTACAGCTTAATTACAGTCAGGCAAGAAGGGAAGTTAAGGCAGGGAGGCAGAAAGCTAGACTCGAACAGCGGCTCCAAAGTGACTTATTGCCTTGATTGCTTATTGCTTTAATGTTAATAGAGTAAACAGAGTAAATAAGCATTTTTTTTCAAACTGCCTAGCAGCATCTACTGCCTACTTTGCTGAATAATTGCTTATACAAAACACTTAGAAGCTTGCACCTCTTACATTTCCTTGAATGTGACCTTTACGGGCTGTTCTGTAATTATGTTTGTTCAGGTTCCTCCTTCTGAATTTCAGGTATATTCTTCAATATAAGCAGGCCTGTATACCCCTAATAAGTCTGGGGGCAACTTAAAATGTTATACAGTACATTTATGTTTATATAGGACATAAGGTGACTCGGTGCAGTAGAAAAACAATGATTTCCATATTTTTTAATATCTTGATGTAGTTACATTACAATGGTCTGATTGCATTTTAATTGTGTTGATTTGTCTACATCAGATAATAACAATCAGATCAAGGTTACGATAAACCATTAGCAACCCCTGTATATATTATAACAGAGAAAAATACGACTTGTCAGCCTGCCAGATAAGGGAAATGTGAAGCACAGCGCTGCACATCTATAACAACCTCCCCTGTCATAATAACAGTCATTCAGATGACTGTATACAACAGGGAAGTACTGTGTATCCTTGTAGGAACATTTGAAAACGCAGACTCTCAGTTTAAAATGTATTTTCTATATTGTAACTTTTGCCACTATACAAAGCTACAACACTCTTCTCTAAGACATCATTTTCATCTTCTTCTTTTAAACTACATGTAAATAACCTGCTTAAAAAACTGAGGGTTAGGCTAGGTTTTTTTTATAGAAACAAGTCCTGTTTCTCTCTTGAGGCCAGGAAAAGGCTAGTCACTGTGACCTTTTTACCTGTGCTGGACTATGGTGATCTATTTTATATGAATGCGCCGGCCAATTACCTCACCAAGATAGATGCCGCCTATCATAGTGCACTAAGGTTTGTGACAGACTGTAAGACTTTGACTCATCATTGTACCCTGTATACAAGGGCAGGGTTGCTTTCACTTACTGTACGGCGGCTAAATCACTGGTATCTTTTTATTTATAAAGCAATGTTAGGGAAACTTCCGTCTTACATCTGTTCCCTGATCTCACAGCGTATTGTAAATGGCTACTGCCTGAGATCTAAAGCTGTGGTTGTATTACATATGCCAACTGCTAGGACTGTATTAGGAAATACAGCTTTTAGATGCGCAGCGCCGCTAGCATGGAACAGTCTACAAAAGGAATGGAAGCTAAGCAGTTTGATTCCATTTCATGTTTTTAAAGCTAGGATAGACGCTATACAATCAGAAAATATTGGTGTCTGTAAATGCTACTAGTATACAAACTGTAGTATCATATAATGTCCTTTGTTTTCTGTCATGTTTGTATTAATGTTTGGAACTAATTGAAGCAGGTCACCATTGTAAAAGAGGTCTATGATTGGGTTTTATCTGTATAAATACAGGTTTTGAATTGAATTGAATTGAATCATATCACACATCATAGCCCCCCATTGTTTTCTAAAAAAGCATCTCCCCCGCACCACAGCTTGCAGCGACATACCATTGTCTTGACTAATATAAATCTTGATGCTGAACAGTTGGGCATCACACTTAAGTCAAAGCAGCAGTATTTCTATGTGAGCTATTTTAATAGATTCAAAAGCAGTAAGAGGCTCCAAGGTGTCTACGCAACCTGCAGTAGAAAAGACAGCAAATGCATTTCAGACTATTTATGCGCAATAAAGGCAACAACAAAAATGCATTAAAAGTGTTATCCTAAAAAAACAAAAAAAACATGAATCCTTAATCCAATTTATATTTAGTCCTACGTTTTAATATTATTCAACCCTTGGTATAGTAGAAAGATAATTTTCTGTTTATAGAGTTCTGTTTGTAGATGCAGACACTTCCTTATTATTCTCACATAATGTAATCACCTATTCACATTTAGCAAGTATATTGACATGTGGGCAGTGGCAAGGGTAAGCTAAAGGTCATTTTTAAAAAGAAATATACACAGACAAACAACGAGAATAAACTTGTACAGAGATTGTCATACTGTCTACCATTACCTTATTTTGAACCAAAATTCATACAACCAAACCTTTTAGGCATGTATCTACAGGAAGGCGATGATTACGTGAAATGTCAAAAGATGATGCAACAGCAAAAAGGTTACAGTATCTGATAAGTCATCTGTGTGTTGCGAATGCATTACTCAGCAACAGATGACAGTATCAAAGCTTTACGGTGCTGTGGAGTCACTTTCATAACAGCGGTATTCAGTAATCCAGAAAATACAGCTCCCTGCTCAATATGATGGAGCAGTTGGATAAGGCAGGGTATAACAGCTCTTATAGTAAAAACACTGCTACTAAGATAATTAGCCTTATTTACTCCCTAATAGACAAGAATCAAGAATATGCACGCAGCAGGGGGATCATCCGTCTATGTACAATGACATATTAAGAACCAGATCACAGGAGAAATGTCTTCAAAAGTTCCTCATTCAAACTCTGACTTAGGTAAGACCGCTTTACGCTAGTATCCACTTTACTACTGAAAAGAACGGCAACACAGCTTGAAGTGAGAAACACGAAATCCTCTAAAACACTTCTTTCTAGTAATATTTGTGATTGTTTTAATTAGTATGGCTATGTAGGGAATGAGTCCTTACCCCAAGTGACGGAGTTCAAGTATCTCGGGGTCTTGGGGAACAATGGAGCGTGAGATGGGCCGGAGAATCGGAGCAGCGGGAGCGGTACTGCAGTCGCTTTACTGTGACGAAAAGGGAGCTGAGCCAGAAGGCAAAGCTCTCTGTCTACCGGGCCATTTTCGTTCCTACCCTCACCTATGGTCATGAAGGATGGGTCATGACCGAAAGAACGAGGATCGCGGATACAAGCGGCCGAGATGGGTTTTCTCCGCAGGGTGGCTGGTGTCTCCCTTAGGGATAAGGTGAGAAGTTCGGTCATCCGGGAGGGACTCGGAGTTTGAACCGCTCCTCCTTCGCGTCGAAAGGAGCCAGTTGAGGTGGTTCGGGCACCTAGTTAGGATGCCACCTGGGCGCCTCCCTAGGGAGGTGTTCCAGGCACGTCCAGCTGGGAAGAGACCAAGGGGTAGACCTAGGACCAGGTGGAGGGATTATATCTCTTCGCTGGCCTGGGAGCGCCTTGGGATCCCCCAGTCAGAGCTGGTTGATGTGGCCAGGGAAAAGAAAGTTTGGGGCTCTCTGCTGGAACTGCTACCCCCGCGACCCGACCACGGATAAGCGGGAGAAGATGGATGGATGGATGGCTATGTGTGTGGGTGATAGCCGTGTTTTGTGTATTGTAATTGTGTTATTGTCTACTTGATTTATGTAATTTGTTTGCAGGTCTCTCGTACAAGAGAGATCTGGATCTCAACGGCATTTTCTGAACTAATAAAGCTTAACTAACTGACTGACTTGTCTCATAATGAATCGAAAAGCAACGACTAGGGTAATGGAAGATAGATAAGTTAGGGTAGGTTGGAAAAGTCACAAGTTACAGTGTTGTTGCATAGAAGGAAAGCTACAATCAAGATACAACTGAAGCTGTGACTATGCATCCTACCAGTAATTAAAAACCTCACACATACTCATCAGGTTTATTTTTAATTGTTATACCAGCAATGTTCATTTTGTCATATGAGGTCACACTCATGCTGTTACGTTGCAGCATGCAACAGACTATTTTTGGTTATTTTACTATGACAAACAGACAAACTAGTTCCCTTGTATTTGCGTTGCTGCTAGACAGGCTGTAACGTCTACACTACTGTGTGTTTTAGAACAGGGATGATCCCACGCTAACCGGTTACAAGAATGCATGACGCTATTGACAGTCCTGGGATTTCTATCAGTTTTCAACATAATGTCGAAATCAAATAATGTAAATCGGATTTTATTCGGAGCATGAAGTGTACTAGATACAAAGTAGCGGGCATTTAAGCAAACAGCAGTAATAGGTTGGAGAGTTAAGTAGCTCTGTAGTCACATACACATACGTTAAGAGTAGCATGCAAAATGTCAAACATAATATTATGCATTTTTAAAAGATGTACCAAGGCTGAGTCAGATAAATATATAGAGATGAATGGGGTAGATTGAAAAATGCTAACAACAGTTAAGACTACCTGTGCCAGGGTCATTCTCATGGCACTGACGGGCGACGGCTCAATGTCCACCAACTGCGGCACCGAGCTCAGAGTCTGGCACACACGTACACAAAGGCAAGCGTCCACACACACACACACACACACACACACACACACACAAGAGCAGCAATGCAAACACACAGACACACAAATACAAGGAGGGGTTAATGGAAAAAAAGGTTAGGGAAAAGTGTTAGCAAAGGTTAAACAGGATTGGGGATACAGGGAAGGACAAGCACATTGTTGTTTAGAGAAATGTGACCAGTTTATGTCAGGGAGGGGAAGAAGTGTAACACAGTGATAGTGTGAAAGAGGGAAAGAAGCTGAGAATCAAGAGAGCACAACATGACTCTATAGAGGACCAAGGTCCACCGGGAGACATCTCTTCTAGCCAGAAATACTTAATAATTCCCCAGAGGGGTGAGACAGCATCCTGCCCACTGCTGCATTCTGATAACAAAGACTTTAGATCGATAAACGACCATTTGAAATATTTTCAAACGTCCAGCAAGCATTTCATACAAAAGAAAAAAGGGTATGTAACATATGTTAATGATGGAAAGAATCTAGGACTACAAAGAAAATCTCCCAGTGGAAACATTACATTTGATGTTAAAACGATTCATACTAGAACACAGCAGATTCATGCTTTTGTTGAGCTGTCAGACACTAGTTAACTGGACAACTCTGTCCTGAAGAGTTACCATGAAGACATGAAGCTGGAAAACAAAAGAGCCAAGGATGTCTCTAGAGAATAAGAATGATAAGAGGCTTGGCTCGTGGATTTCCCGCTTGGCAAGACTCTCAGCCCCGGATTTATTAATGGGATTCTCTAAAAGTACAAGAATAAAAATACATGAATTCTGTTTCAGAGACTCGACTGCTAAAGAGGAGCTAAGGACTTTAGCCAGAGATGTAAAGTACAATATCGGAGGAGAGAGAACATGTGGGAGGAGACGTCCTCATGTGTCAACACAAGAGGCTAATTACTAACTTTGTGTTTGTGAGTGAAATGAATGGGGGGATTGAGTGACTATCTTGTTGTCTAAAACAGGTTCATATACAAACTGTGTTTCTTACCGTGTCACAATCGCTGGGCTGGAACTGGAAGTCGTTTGCTTTGTGAAACACTGGGTTCTCCTGCATGAACAACTGCTGGTTGTATTCTTGTATTACCTGAGAGAAAGACAGAGGGAGATTGGGATCTATTTACTGTGACATCAGAGAATCCTCACTGACCAGCCTCTCCTGCCTTTGGATGGATTGAACTACAAATCTCTTACAGCCACCATTTTAGTCTCCATTTGGTGAGTGTTTTATATTCACTCAGATTTTGGGTTTGATTATTTGCTTTTTAATGGGATCAATGTCTGGTCAAAGAGCTTGCCATGGCTAGCAGTGCAGACAAGTTAAGTAATTCAACTCCAGTAAAGTATGAAACCAGTTAAATAACACACCATCCTATCTGCAGGTGCTTTGAGAGGCACTGTGCTCAGCTGTTCTGCAAGCCTTATGCACACATTCTGTATTCATGAAAACAAATGGCAGAGCGGTGTTTTGGTTTTTAAATTAATGAATCTCGTTATAATTAATTTATTAAAATGTATATGAGTAGATTGCACCCTTTAAACAAAAAACAAGAATACAAAACACATATCCAAGGCATTTGTTTTTATTTCATACTGACTTTTCCTGCATTATTAAGTTACTGTTACGATTATTGTGTTATGTCACGTTTTGCATGTCTTGTTTTGGGTGTTTTGCTGTTCTCCCTGTCTTGTTTTCCTCTTGGTATATTGTCTGGTCCTTTTCCCTGTGTTTTTCTTCCCTGTCGTTAGTTTCCCTGGTGTGTCTAGTGTCTGATTGTGTTCACCTGTGGCCCTTGTGTTTCTCCTCCCCTGCCCGGCTGTTTCTCGTCTTGTGATTACCCCTCCCTGTATTTAGTCTTGTCTCTTCCTGTGTTCAGTGTTGGTTTGTCGTTTGTCTGTGTTCACCGGGGAGTGTTCTGATTGTCCATGTGCCATATCCTTGAAATAAAGGTATTTTCAGTTTTTTCTGCATTTGGGTCCTGCCTGCTTCACTCTCCGTAACAGTTACCGTATATGAACAACGCTTCCAACCTCCAACCCTAGGCACATTTCACCTACTGTGTAATCTATGGAAAAACAGGGCCTAGTAATAATGAATGAACTCAAAATGTTATGTGGTTGCATCAATTTCACCAGAGAAATACACATTTTGTTGCAAAATAAATCACTTAAAATGTGACTTTATGTTTAGAAGCTTTTCCCGACAGTATCTGTTTTAAGACCAGAACAACTGCATTTCAACTAACTTATACATGAGTGCTGAAGGTCTGTGTTGTTCCACACATCTGACTCACCCTGGTGGATTTGTCCAACAGGAACTGGAAGGTGTTGTGAGAGGCTTGCGATGCCTCTAGCTCGGTACGACTCAGCTCAACCAGGTAGTCTTTCACGTGCTCATAGATCCTGCCGTCCAAGACCTACAGGACGGAGAGAGAGGGACCAGAGGTTACAGTAAGAAATGGATTAAGCCAATGTAATTTCCTTATTCAACTGCTTCAACGGAAGCTTTTAACCGTTTTTCTCAAAGGATTGTTATTCAAATGTCAAATGTATTCAAGAGCAAATTCAAAGGAACGACTGAAAATGAGCAGCTCTAATCATTAGAGGTGGGAACTAGAGTGCCGATTTTAAGACGTTTTGAATGGTGTTTGCACTCTAAATGAACAGCATTTCTATTGGGAGCTTTGATAGTGCTGCCAAGTGGAAGGCCGCGGTGCCAAACAGACAGAGAGGAGAGATAGGAGAAGAAGGGAAGAGTAAACATATCAAAAGTTATGAAAAAGCGAAAAACAGAGAGAAAGAGTGTATGGAAGAGTGTGTGTGTGTGTGTTCTTTGGACAGCGTTCTCACAGCTGCAGGGTGAGGTGAAGGGGTTCGGATTCCAATTCAACAAAAAACAGAGACCGCAAAAAAAAAAAACACCACACACCAACACACACACACACCACACACACACCACACACACACACACACACACACACACACACACACACACACACACACACACCACACACACACACACACACACACACACACCACACACACACACACACACACACACACACACACACACACACACACACACACACACACACACACACACACACACACACACACACACTTCCTCTTTTGAAATACATTCTTACGCTCTTCTAGCCAAGGTACTCTATAAAAGCTCACACTCTAGGAAAACCGCACACACTCTTTGCTGGTCAGAGTGATGCTTTATCTTCTACAAGATCATCTTAAAACTGTCTTTTTCTCACCCAGAGAGCCAACATATACAAACATTGATTTCAATATGCACACACCACAAACAAATGTAGCCTTTGCACACACATACACAACACACAGACTTATAAAACAATGGGAAATTGAGAAGGAAATTATGTCATCAAGGGTGGGTTGTTGGCTGACTTCTCTATACATGTTCCCTCATCACTCTGCTCATTTCCTCCTCCCCCCTTTCTTCTCTTTCCTCCCCTCCTTCTTCCATCCTTTTATGGTAGTGTTGAAACCCAGTGAGTCAGCTTCCAGAAAAAGCCCCGTCCCCATCCTGGGCATTGTATGTGTGTTTTTGTATGAGTGTGTGTTTGTTTTTGGGTTGAATGACTGCATCAGCCTGAACAATAAGTACAGCGCAGAGGACCAGACAGGGCAGCAGAGGTCTAATTGTGAGAGTGAGTGTGTGTCTAGCAGGGGATTTAAAAGATGGTAGGTAAGAGCATCGCCAGCCAACAGCAGAGGGAGACGTGGAGCAGTTTGAGCCTCCTCTGTCCTTTCACTAACACTGTCGCATTGACAAGGACATGTAGCTCAGTGTGAGGTGTTAGTGCTGCAACCACAGACCGCACAGACAGTATTTATGAAGTTAAGATTCAAACAAGGCTTTTATTTGCAAGTCTCCAATGCCCTCATGTTTATAAATCCCCTCTATTATCTATCACATTCTGCCCATTATCCTCTATATGGCTTGGGGTTAAAGACAGCAATGCCTTGATCCACTTTGAGCTGACAAATTGTCAGAATATCTGTAACATATTTGAATATTTACATTTAGAAGTATATGTCTCTATTCTAAAATGTCCTCCACAAGCTGTGTCTGATGAATAGTGTTCATGGCAATGCAATGTACTAAGAGCACAGAAAGGACTTTAAAGGTTGAATATAATGGCAGTTTTAAATGGAGACAATCTGTGCTTTTAGGGTGATGTAACGTCTTGGTTTTATTTTCATTGTATGGCTGCTATTCAAAATCCATTTGTGCTGATTTCTGGACTGTGTTTCTCACTTATCTCTCTGGAGCCAAGACTGTGAAAAGAACTTGTACTTTCTTGCAAACTGTTCACCCCCGCCCCCCCTGTTAGAAGTGTTGTTGTCAGCGGCTTTCAGGTGAGGACCTATACACACCACAGTAAAAGCTGAAGAAAGCTCCAAAATGGTGGGAATGAGCTCCCCATTGACATCAGGACAGCAGATAGCTTGCACATCTTCCGGGGGAGACTGAAAACTAATCTCTTTCGACTCCACTTCGAGCGATAGAACTATTAACAAAGCACTTATATACTAATAAAGAACTGGCTTATCTAAAGCCATTTGAGTAGCACTTGAAATGTTTTAGCTCTATGAAGCCTGATGTACTTATATGATTCTGTTTTCTTCAAGTTTGTATTTTGTTGGTCGAACGCACTTATTGTAAGTCGCTTTGGATAAAAGCGTCAGCTAAATGCAATGTAATGTAATGTAATGAAGAGGAGGGAGAGAGGATGAGCAGATTGACTCCCTCTAGCAATGTCCCTCGTTCTATCTGTGTGTTTGCACGCATGTACTTGTGCACATGCATATTTCCCTGCAGTCCTGTCCTTCTGTCGCAAGGAGCTAAGGATCTATTATTTAGAATGGCCTCGTAGTAGATAGATGCTCGAACACGCCTAAGGCCGAGTTTGTGAGAGACAAGGAGACAGGGACGAGCATCTGAGGATAGAATTAACACAACATTGGGGGGGAAACATAAAGCAAACAAATAATAAACAGAGAGAGAAGCAGATAGAATCAATATTACAGATTGCTTATGGTTTAGACTGACAAATCAAATCGCCAAAATTCCAGGGTCACCTTGTTACTCTTATGTGTATGTCTCCTTATCCTGTGTTTTTTCTTTCTTCCCTATATCCCCATTTAGCATAACAGACATCACTGATATACAAACTACAGATTCCTTTTTCTATGTTTTGTTTGTTTCAAATTCACAAATGTTGAAATGACTTTATATATTGCATGGTGTTTATTTGTTCTAACTGGGCTGTAACACTCCCTAAGTGTCTGTGTGTGTGTTAACTACCAAATCAGTAATCAGACATCACTAATGGATGTCAGGATACAGACAAAAACATCCCACATGTGATGTCTGTGTGTCTATATAAATACTGCATAAGTGTGTGTGTGTCAGATCGACATGTTTACACAGCATTTACAAAAGGATGACTTCACTGTTACTCAGTGGCTCAAGTTATTCACAGAAGCTGAGGCGTGTTTGGATGCATAGAGCAGTCTGTCAACCTGTGTGAATGTGTACGTGTCTTGTCTTAAACCACAAGAGATATTTTAGTCAAACGTCCTCAAGTGTTTTGTTTATGTGCATGTGCTAGAAAGGTCACCAGATGTTTCCACACACAGCAAACTCCCACTGATGAAATAATTGTTAGTGGTGACAGCTAATTTGCATTGTGTGAAAATGAATCACTTTGAGTTGCAGAACATGTTTACTTGATCAGGTAAAATGTGTACATTAAGAAAATCAGGAAACCTACTTCCTACAACTACGATGAAAAAAGCGATGCATGTCATGATGGTGTCAGATTTGATTATAAGCTCAAAATAGAAGATGAATTGAACATAAAAAAGTACACATCACTGATTTAGCAAATGTATTCACTTTTGTAATCTTTTCTACAGTTTTTTTAAAGGGCCAAACTTCATCAAAGCTTCTTGAGAGTTCCTCTGGCCTTATTTCAGTTCATTCAACTCTGTGGAAAAAACAATTTCATGCCTGCCAATCATTCGGTAAAAGGAAACATCAGGATGTCTCATTTTGCAGGATTCTTTTTTCTCACATAAGCCCCTTTCAAAGCACAAATCCAGAGAACTCATGACTCTCTTTGAAGACTGAGAACCTCAAAATCATCACTTTTTCATGTATGACTTTATTTCTCTCCAACTACTTAGTATACGCTGAAAGGGAGTCTGACTTTGTGAACTCATAAAAGGAATACCTTTTATTCCAAATGAAGCTTTAATTCAAAGTACCCTCTGCCTTTGAATTTAGGAACCAACTAAATGTGTCCCCTTCCTTGGAAAATCCCTCTGGGTATTATCAGCGGGCGATAGTCTTAAGTCAGTACTTGTCCATCACAAAGTATTTACTCCAGTACTTGTAGTTGAATAAATGTCATTACAAACTGAAATATCAGCTGCCTAGAAATGTTCTATCTAATTAAAATGTCCACATTCATTGCAAGGATGTGGATAATCTCTCACACCTTTCAACTCTTTAAATCCAGTTTTGTGAAATTACCTGTATGCAGTGCAGTAGATCAGTATGATAGTAACGGTCATGGTGAACATTGGCAGCAGCTAGCGTTAGCAAGTAGTCGTTCCTTGCGTGTGTTGCCTTGGAGTTACAGTCACTTCTCTTGGCTTTCAACTGAAATGATAGAGACAGATGATATGGCATTACTGCATTACAGTAGCAGATCAGAGCTTTAAGCTTCAAATGAAGTACGTGAGTGTCTTTTAAGGTTCTTATTAGAGAGACAAAGGGTTTTGTATAATGGTTTAAAAGAGTTAGCTTGAAAGGGGATTATAGTGTGTGTGTCTTTGTGAGTGAGTTCCCTTACCTTTACACTTGCTTTCTGTAAACTAATTCTTGACTGAAAAAGACCCAGTTTAGACCTGAAAGAACAAAACAGAAGTTCATTTTGAAAATAATTATAATTCAAACAAATGTATATGAAAGAATATAAGCATAATCATATTTTTAATTTATGACAAATTACCGACAAAGTACATTTGAAAGGAGAAAAAGATCCAGGCACTTCTACAACATCACATCTCTGATCTCTAACCTGTTTCAGAGCAGGCCTTGTATATTGACCATGAACAGGCTGCAGCTAAGCAACAATAAATCTCAGCCTGATCCAGCCAGCGTGATTTATATTGATGGTGACATCAGAATGACCTGTCTCATGAAATGATACAGTGAGCCTGTGTGGATGTGTGTGGTCTGTCTTTTGGTTCTATAGCGCATTAAAACTGGCCATGCGTATCTCATTCACTTGGCTAAGTGTTTGAGTATGTGTGTGTTGTGGTTCTACCTATGTCCCTGTGCTTTATGCATGTAGGTGGGCATTAAAAGCATGAAGTGTGTGTGATGTCGCTGCTATCACACCAACTCCCTCCTGTGTGTTCTTGTGCCCGACAATGACTAATGCCTCACATTTTCTCTACTCTGCTGAAACACACACACACACACACACACACACACACACACACACACACAGCACAACACACACACACACACACACACAACACACACACACACACACACACACACAGCCACACAACACACACACATCACACACACACACCCACACACACACACCACACACACACACACACACACACACACACACACACACACACACACACACACACACACACACACACACA